TTATGCTTCAGAAGATTGGAGACTGACGAGAATTAGGCTTGGGGTGGATTAATGATTGTACATTGAGCATTGAGTCCCCTATACAGAATTTTATTGTTGTTAACAACCATTTGATCAATAAATATGAGAGATGCCCTCTCCAAAAAAAAAAAAGAAAGCCAGAAGCCTAGGAGGAGTATGTAGAAGGAGAACCAGCCAAGTGTCTGGCTCTTTCTGATCTCTTTCAGGAAACGTGGCCTTTGCACACAGAATTCCTCATATAAACCCTGCCAGTCCTTCTTCACCTTGGAAACTGAATCCAGTCATTCATTTTAAGTGATCTGCTATTGGTAGATTACAGTGCAATAGCAAAGTGTCTTGTTTTGCATTTTCAGAGAAATTTAGGGGAAATTGAAAAGTAGCACAACGTTGGCACAAATTCTTAATACTATTTTCTGTCTTGGTTGGTAATACATTTTCTTTTCATTCCTTGAACTTTGTAGCCAAGGCAATCGTTTTACCTTCTTAAAAGTGTGGTTAGCATAAAGACCATGTGATAATTTCTCCAGGAAGCCTCTGGGTTTGCAGCTCATCATCATTCGGGTGGACCAGTGGTTTGTGATCTTCCCTATCACTTAGGCCTAGTTCCCTCACACCCAGTCAGCTCTAGGATGGTTGAGAAATCACCCATCATCTTTTCAGCACAGCCTGTGCCAAGGGATAGTTTACCAAGGCTTGTATGACACAAAATTTACTTGTTGTCCACCTGTAGCCAGCTGGCCTGAAAGCAGCCACTGCTCCTGTGGTACTTTGCATGAACCAGGTAACACATGGGTGTTGAAAGGATGCACAGGGCATGGACTTAGGAACAGTCAGGTTTGGAAGAAGCTTTAACACTCCCTCTCTGGTGTCTTATGTTAGAGTGGCAATCTGGTCTTGTGACTTTCATGTTTGTCAATGCTTCAAACTGCAATTATGTAGTGGAAACTGATTATGTAATCCACCCAGATAGGGCCTGCTCCTCTTGTAATTTATAAAACCCCTCTTCTAGTTTCTTCTGGGCTATTTTCTTACAGAGCCCCGTCAGAATCAGCCTCCTGTTGCCATTGTGTCACCACAGTTCCAGGAGATCTCCCTGCCAACCACTTCAACAGTCATTGATGGCAGCCGTGAGTACTGGTCTGGGTATGATTTTTGAGAAGAGCATTCTCTGTGTGCTCTAGTAGAGGATTTGGGGCCAGCTGTGTCTGCATTCTGTTCAGGCTGGTCTTCCTGACAGTGTTATGAGAAGACCAACCCTCTTAAGCAACTGATTAGGACGTAAAAAACAGGCCCTATTTAAACTCCCCATGTGGCTTGTTTGAAGTAATATTTCTGCTCTGAGATAGTAAGAAAGTGAGATTATGTACAGATTTAGCATTATTTTAGTTGAAACTTGCTGGTTTCCAAATTTGCTTAGATGAAATTGCCACTCTTAATTATGGAAACGAAGCTCCTTCCTAGCATGGCAAGATAAGTGAGAATCTTGCCTGAGGAACCCTCACCCAGCCGTCACTGCCTAGCTGGATTCTTACTGGCCTTTTCCCAGAGAGACTCACAGAATGTACTCCACACCTCGCCTGGGTTCACTGACATTTACATCCTTCAGTGTAGTGTCACCTCCTGGGTGACATGAGGGGATGTCTGGGTCTCTGCCATTGATCCTGGCTCTGTGTGTGCAGGAGGCTTCAAGCCTGTCATCTCACCCGTATTTGCCTGGTTTCTCTTGAGACTCATTAAGGTCCTATTGCCCTGATTTTCTGGGTACCAGCAGTGGTTTTGGCAGAGGCAGTCACTGCTTTAGCAGAGGAATCCCTAGCAGTGTCAACCATTTCATGTAGATGGTTCTGCTAAGAAAAGGAGGCTAGAAGGAGAGCAGGCCCGGGGGAAGAGAGAGACTAGGGAGAAGCACTTGTGAGAATGGTAAAAAGGGTTCACATTGTACCATTTTGTTTTATATTTTTTAATAGGTCTAAGTTAAATAATATGTAAAAATACACAATGAAAAGAATCACTACCATTCCTTTCTCCCAACTATCCAGTTTTCCTCCACACAACCAATGCTATTATTTTATGTATCTTTCTAGAGATATTTTATACATATATAGGAAAATACAAATACAATCTTTATAACACATTACACACACTGTTATGTATAGTGCTTGTTTCTATATGTTCGAGAATTTTTCTGAATACGTAGAATATTTCTTCATTCTCTTTTCTTTCGATTACCTAGCCTTCTGTTATATGGATGTATAATTTCTTTGTATGAATATATACTTGTTTTCTCAATGTCTGTTGATGACCATTATTTTTGGTCTTTTGCTATTGCAAATGTTACCGTGAAAAATCTTATAGGCAGGTACCAGTATGTCTGTAGGATAAATTCCTAGAAGAGGAATTACAGGGGCAAAGATAAATTTTGCCAAATTGTTCTTTATAGAGGTTGTATAAGTTTATGCTTCCCCAGTGAATTATGTGAGGTCCTCTTTCTCCCCACCTTTACCCATATAATGTAATGAAACTTTGGTCTCAACCAATTTGATGGGTTAGAAAATGGTATCTCAAGGGTAATTTAAATTTGTGTTTCTTTTATTTTAAGTGAGCTTGAGTATCTTTTAATGTGTTTAAGAATTTTTGATGCTCCTTTTTTTATACAGTAGCGTTTTAACCAGAGGTTGCCTGTGTTGGAGTCCTTGGCAAACTACGCAGTGGAATAATATTCATAGAGAGGCAGAATGACCCAATATTCCTAGGGAAGAAACACTGTGGAGAGATAGTCTGTAATTTCATGAAGTTTTCCTAGCCTCAGATCTCTGGGTGGTTGCCCTGGCTTGTGTAAACTGGGTAAGTGCTGAGACCCAGAACTCTCGTGTTGTAACTGATGTTTCTTTGCGGTCAAGAAAGCACTGATGATGATAAAATTGTCCAGTACCACTGGGAAGAACTTAAGGGACCTCTGAGAGAAGAGAAGATTTCTGAAGATACAGCCATATTAAAACTAAGTAAGCTCGTCCCTGGGAACTACACTTTCAGGTAAATTAGGATCCTTCACGTTTACTACCATAGGCCTTTTTTATTCGCTGTGGGTTCTGCATTCTTGTAGGAGTAACCCTGACAGATACTAACTTCACTGTAGAGTTGGTTGATAACTTAGCCTTTGGTTCCATTGGTTCTTGAGCCTTATGGCAGTTGTGCTCACAATAATGATAAAATTTAGGGCAAAGGTCCTTGTGTAATAGATCAGGATCCAGCACAGTTAATCCTCAAAGCCTTGCCTGGCAGATCTCCAAATGTATTTTTAGGATTTCTATCAAGTGAAAGGGTCCATCTTCCTTTGCCTTTTCTCAGGAAAAATCTAGAAGGAACCTCCTCCCTGTCTGTTTCCTCAGCTTTTGATATCTCAAAATCTTTACTTTTGATTAGTGGTTTAAATATGATTTATAGAGAAAAATTTCTCTATTGGGGCTTTTTGGAGAATTTGATTCAATGACAGTCCTTTTGGGAACTAGTGTCATGTGAGGCTGGCTGTAGAGTGATCCTCTTTATATTTGCATAATTTCCTGTATGTTACAAAGCACAAGTTTGTGAGTATCATACAAACACCATATGTATACAATACTGTCTTCATTGCACATCTGAGAAAAGTGAGGCTCAGTGAATGCAGTAACTTCTCTGAGGTCACACAGCTGAAACTGAAATGCAGATTTTTCTAAGCCTGGGTCAGGGCTCATTCTGCTCTCCTCCTTGACCTGATCATGCATATTTCATTTATACTCCCTTGAACATCCTTCTCAGTCTGTTGGAGTTGTGCCCATCCTTAAAGACCTGCTCAGTTCCCTGTTAGGCTCTGTGAGATCCCTCCAGGGAGAGGAGAGTATGTCCTCCTGTTTCCCTGTCGTGCCCAGTGCTTCTGGGTGATGCCTGCTGTGGCGCAGCAGCTTACTAGTTGGTGTCTGTCTCCCCTGCTGGGCCTGAGGTAATCAAGCCTGAGACACTGCCAGCGCACAGTGATGAGTGTCCTAGCACACACCCACCATATGGGTAAATACAACAGGTGACTTAGCAGCATTCTCACTGACTCTGGGCTTCAGGTGACGAAAGGTAGCTGCCATTCAACAAGGTTGGAGCTTTCTCATTGGCTTAAAAAGGAAATGAGTGTTGGCTTTTACCTTAGATTTCTAATATAGGAATTTTAAAATTTATGGAATTTAGCCTGAGCCAAGTTGATCCTTTTTAAAATAAGTAACAAATAATAGCTACTGTTTCTTGAACACTTACTATGTGTTTAGTACTGTTCTAAGCTCTTTGCATGCAGTAGCTCATTTAATTCTTAGAACAGGTATTATATTTAGTCTTATTTTATAGATTAGGACAGTTAGGTACAGAGAGGTTAAGTAACTTGCCCAGGGTCATACAAGCAGTCTGACTCCAGAGTCTGAACTTTTAACCACAGCATTAATTACAGTGTTTTGGGTGGATAGGGTATTGGGAAATAATTCTTTTTTTCTAAGACTCAATCTATGCAATAACAGACTGGGCTTGACTAGCATTAACTCTGATTCTACTCACCTTGTCCTTTCCCCTGCTTCTACATGACAGTACTTTCTTTCCCCATCTCTGTGGTCAGCTGCTACTTGGTTCCAGGATTTTGCATGCAAGCCAGAGACTGTTTGAGATGCAACTTAGAGGAATGGGCAGCTGCCATTTTGCCATCTGACTATAACTTGCTTTTGTTCTGAAATAGGAGACAAGCACACTATGTTAAAAAACAAAAACAAAAAACTGTGAAAACAACAGGGAAACTGGAAAAGAGGAAAACATCTGTGGATTTTTCTTTTTCAGATGTTTGCTGATTTGAACATATCTGTGTGTCTGGTGTTTTTGTGCTCTTTTTCTAAAGGCTGTGATACAAAAATCTCCTCCAGACCATAGGTAAAAGTGAGATTGTGGGATACAACTCCACAGATGTCTGGCTATGTCTGTGGCTGGTGCTAAGATTTACACAAACAATATGTCTTTTTTATGCTTTTCCTCTTTCTGTCAGCAAAATGGAAAGAACCCAAACCTCCTTGCTTGCTTATGCTCATATTTTGAGGTGGCAGGAGAAACTTTAGGCTGTTCAGCTGGAAGGCATCATTTAGGTAAAAGCCTGCTCTTATAAATGAACATTTTTTTCTCTTGCAAATCCTATTTCACACTGGCATAAACTGTAGCACTCTAGCGTAGGAGAATTAATTTGCATCTCAGGCTCCTGTCTTACCAAACCCAGCCCTCCTGGTCTACCCCAGAGGCTTTCTGCCAGGATGTCCCTTCTTGGGATGTGTACACAGCTGAAACGGGATGATGGCAGGAAAGCCTTCTGTAGTCAGAGCTTTCTCTATTTAGTGTGGCATCTTTGAACCTGTGGAAATGGGAGCCAGGGATTATCTTTTCTTAAGATGTGGTTTCTGGGCTGGGGAGAGTACTGGGCTGTGTCTGGCTTACTGTGTAGCCCTGGGCAGGTTCCTTAGCCTTTCCAAGCCTCCTGTAAAGTAAGGATGATTCCTGCTCTATGTGATTGTTGAGAGGGTCAGTGCTTAGATCAGACAGTGCTTAGAAAGGTCCCAGCCCACAGACACGTGCAGTCAGCAGAGAACTACAGTGCTGGAGACATATTGCCTGGATTCAGATCCTAACTCCACCTCTTTCAAGCTTGAACAAGTTACTTTACCTTTCTGCCTCAGTCTCTTCAAATATGTAAGGAGTAAAATGAGAAGAGTACTTTATAGAGCTGTTGTGATGGTTTAATAAGTTATAAAGCACTTGGAACAGTGCCTGGCACACAGTAAGCCCTGAGTCAGTGTTAGCTTCTGGTATCACTCTGCCTTTCTAGGAGGAATGGGTAGGGATTGGTTACCAGTTGGTAAGCCTCCCACCATAGTATGTCTTAGTCTTGATTTTCAGTCGTCTCGTGTTTATTCCTCTTTCCTGAAGTGCATCCCTGACAACATTCCTTCTCCTTCCCTGATAGCTTGACTGTAGTAGACTCTGATGGGGCTTCTGACTCCACCACTGCAAGCCTGACCGTGAACAGAGCTGTGGATTACCCCCCGGTGGCCAATGCAGGCCCCATCCAAGTGATCACCTTGCCTCAGAACTCCATCACCCTGTTTGGGAACCAGAGCACTGATGATCACGGCATCGCCAGCTATGAGTGGTCACTCAGCCCGAGCAGCAAAGGGAAAGTGGTGGAGATGCAGGTAGGAGGGAGTAGTTTCGGTCTTTTCTTACCCAAGGGAATGAGAGCTGCTGGACTGGGTCCCCATCTAAAGCTTTTTTTTTTTTTTCATTTTAATTACCAAAGTCAGATTTGTACATAGAACCTTTGAATTTTTAAAAAATCCAGAGACTTTAAGGGGCCTTTAATTAGCCCATTAGCAAAAACCTTTATCCTAAATGTCTAATATTAGAGGGAAAGACTAGATGAGAAATGGTAGCTGTTCTAGGATGACTCCAGAGAGTTGAACTATTTTGAAGCTACAGGGCACAAATCTCAGTGAGCCCTTTTACAGAAGAGAAAAGATTGCTGACTAGTTGGTGAACATCTTCTCTCTGGAGATATTAAAGGAGAGACTAGATCTGTTACCATGCAGCTAACAGATAAAGAAAGAAAACTGGATGGAGATTGTGGCAAATAGGAGAATGTAAACCCTGACTAAAGGATTAGCCCCTCCTCAGGTACAGCTGGTTGCTGCAAGGTGTGTGGTCCCAATATTGCTAGATCATCTAGCTTTTAAAAAGAGAAGACAGATACCTAGAACTTCAGGGAAAATTTTCCAACTTTTAAGACACTACAGGTCAAACAAAATGTCTGCAAGTTGGATTCAGCCCAGAGGCTGCCAGATTTTGTCCACTGTTCTAGAAGGAGTTTCTGTATTAGAAGTTTTCCCTAAATTATTTATAATGCTCCTTCTGACCTTCTTTGTTTCCAGATTTGAGGCATGACTTAGAGCTTGGCTTTAGTTTAAATGTGCTGTTAGGTTTCTCTGTTGTTGGAGCATGACTTTACATAGCATTTTGAGTTGCTTTGTTAGGATTACTTTGTGGCCTCAATAGTAAGAACACTGTTTTTAAAATTGTGTTATTTTTATGTTTGTGATCTTCTTTCTGGCTTGGGTCATAGAGCTGATTCGGTTATCAATGCACGTTTTTCTGTACTCCTCTCCCTCTGTGAGAGAGGTCTGACTTTATTGGAAATTACTGCTGTCAGGGAGGGGGACAAAAGAGGAAGGTGGAAACTTTTAACAAGATGTCCCACACTGTCTGGTTTAGCATTCACTAGTTATACTGAACTGGGAGGTTAATAGCCTAGTACCAGCCTAGGTTTAGAAACCTGGGTAAATAATTTAGACCACAATAGGACTTATTATATGTTGTGATTTGGGGAGCCTGCTTACCCACCTGTCTGTTTTTGCATATCCAGGGTGTTAGAACACCGATCCTGCAGCTCTCTGCCATGCAAGAAGGAGATTACACTTACCAGCTCACAGTGACTGACACAATAGGACAGCAGGCCACTGCTCAAGTGACTGTTATTGTACAGCCTGGTAAGTTCCAACCATGTGGTGCAAGCTCTTCTGTTGGCTGGTCCCTTGAACTTAGGGGAAGATGGTTAGGGTTCTGAATTGTATGAGGGTAGAAGTGGGAGGCATCAGTCCATGGGGCCCCTGGTAATTTCTGTTGTCCATTCCTCTAGTGCTTTCTTCATAACTAGTGCTATGAAGCACAACCTCAGCTTGTGCTCTTGCCCTTGGCTAGTTATTGTGCTTTTGAGGGAACATAGCAGATAAAGGCTCTGCCATCCTAAATCCTACCATGTCCTTTAAGGGCCAGCTTAAAGCCCACCTTCTCAAAAAGCCCTACTGTATCACTCAGACCAGTATTTGACAGCTCTGTGGGCAGAGAAGCAGAGTCCGCATGGCTTCTAGAACATATGTCCCAATTGGTTCCTCTCCTCTCCCAGCTGAACTCCAGCTTTTGACCTCCATGTGTCTGTCTTCTAGAAAACAACAAGCCTCCTCAGGCTGATGCAGGCCCAGACAAAGAGCTGATCCTTCCTGTGGACAGCACTACCCTGGATGGCAGCAGAAGCTCAGATGATCAGAAAATTATCTCATATCTCTGGGAAAAAACACAGTGAGTATTGACACAAAACCCTTATTTATGCAAAGGCCCCAGAGGTTTGACTTTCTGTTAAGAGCTGATTTGCTCTTACTGGCTTATCCAAGGTGGGTGACTGAGAAAGAAATTTTTGCAGTCTCAAACCTCAACTCAAGGAAAATGATATGAAATAATTTTTGAAAGAAAAAATGAATACTTACCATCAGTTAGTCCCCAGGTAGAACTTTGTGGTCCTGGTGCTTTTCCAGGTACAATTCATCTGCTGAAATGCATAGTTTAATTACACTTGAGAGGCAGGATGGAAGGGGTAATGGAGCAGAAAAATACTGTTGCTCAAAATTAACTGGGTAAGGCTGGCAGTGGGGATGGGGCAGAGCAGCTATTAAGGAGAATTGGAACTTCATCTACAAAATGAAAGCATTTCTCTGTTATTGTTTCCTTGAAGATGCCATTTACCAATTATGTTAGCCAGAGGCCAAAGCAATAACCAAAACAGTACTAATTAAACTAGAATTACCTAATCGAACCATTGCTGGTTCTCACAGTTTCTTTTAGCTCCTTTAAACCATAACAAATGGAACCTGAGCTATATGCAGGATCCCTCAGAAAGCAGAATTCCAAGCAGTGGCAAGCATTCTCAGGCTCCAAGGTAGCAACCACAGTTGGTTTTTGACTAGGACATTACAGACAGATGGGAAAGGGCTATATTTTGACTATAGAAACCACTTGATTTATGATTAGTGAGTTGGATTCTAGAAATTATTTTCCTCAGCTCTTGTTTCTATCTTTTGGAGAACCCAATCTTCCTCATCCCAGTGTGTTTTAATTATAACTACTTGTTGATATGGCTAATGAACGTTACAGCTGAGTTTTATTGGTGTTTACAGCAGAAATAATAACTTAGCCTAGCTTTTTAGAAAAGAATCTGTCTCAGGAGGGGTCAAAGGTTATATGCTTAAACAGCAAAACAGCAAAAGCAGGAAGTCTGCAGATTTCTCTGGTCATCCTATAATTTTAAGGAAAGCTCTGGGGCATTTTTGATCCTTGAGCAGAATGGCTTTCCAGTATGTGCAGCATTGTGCCGGATATTGGCACAGAGCTCAGGCCCCTGCTGCAGGCTGCTGTGTGAGGCCTCAGAGAAAGCAGGATCGGGTGCCCTGGGTCATCCAGGGCCCCTGCCCAAGAGCTGGAAGGAGCTTTGCTTCCAGAGCTGCTAAGAGGAGGGTTTGCTCTGAGTGTTCCTCTGCAGCCTTGGCCCACTTCCTTTCTCTGACTTTTCAGCAGGAGTTTGGCATGATTAAGAAAGGCATTTTGCTTCTTTGCTGGCAAGGGCTGAACCAACTACTGGGCCAGAAACGCTTTTCAGAAACAACACCCTTAAATCATCCTTTTGATCAGAGACCTGCACAGAGCACTTTCTTCCTTTTACAAACTGGAATAGCAAAGAGTTTGAATGTCCTAAAAGCTCATATGAAAGATAAGGCTAGATGTATTTGAAAGCTGGTGAAGAGAATTTTCTGATCAGCAGGTAGCCTGTATTTTGGGGCCAAATGACACTCTGTCCAAATGGAGTATTTTTAAACATGTCCTCTCAAGGTCTGGGAAACAGCAGCTAATGTCTTAGCTGAGGCAATGACCGTCTGCCCCTGATGAGTCAGGGACAGGAGAGCAGCAGTAAGGTACAACTCCTCGCTCTGGTTTCTCTCCCTGTCCAGGGGCCCTGACGGGGTGCAGCTTGAGAATGCTAACAGCAGTGTCGCCACTGTGACAGGGCTGCAAGTGGGAACCTACGTGTTCACCCTGACTGTCAAAGATGAGAGGAACCTGCAAAGCCAGAGCTCTGTGAATGTCATTGTCAAAGAAGGTACCTCCCTGCCTCGGGTTGGTGCAGCAGCCTCTGGGGCAGAAAACCTGCAGTTAGATGGATTAGAGACAAGGGGTAGGGAAGAAAGTTGAGGGTAAGAGCAGCTGTTTCTTGCTTTTCTAAAACAACCTTTAATTGACAGTGAATGTAAGGTGAATTTTAACTTGTTGGGTACCCCCCGTACCTCCCTTCCTGCCTTCTTCTTAATGGAATAGGGAGAGAGTAAAGTTTTTTTCCCTTTGCATTTTTATTTTGCTTCTGCTGCTAAGACCTGTTTTCTATGACTTTCCCACTAGCTGGCTTCAGTGACACCTGCTGGCAGACCTCAGAATGACTGTGAGCCTGCACTCTTGAGGCCAGCCTGAGGCAGGGGCACACTGGCCATGCTTGGTTCGCAGGCCGGGATCAGTGATGGCCTGGGTGAGGGCTCAGCTGAGAGTAGAAAACCCATCAGATACGCAGGCGGCCTGCAGCTGCAGGACACTGAGCTCAGTAAATAGAGAGTATACACCTGAATAAACAAAGCGGCAGGCAGGGCCCAGGGGGCCCAGGATGAGAGGGCTCACTCTCTCCTTTTTCACTATTAAAGTAATGAAGAAGGAATCAAAAAAGATGTTCAGAGAATAACATTTTAAGTCATATTTTAAAGAGAATTTGTGGTTCCAGCTGAATGAAACCTAAACTCTAAGGCTTTAATCCACTTTGGACCTTGTTTCCAACTGTCTCACACCTCCAAAGCAGAGAAATGGATTCCTTTTGGGGAGGCTGCTCTGAGAATATGGGAAGAAACTACAGTTGTGCCACCTGTTGTTTGGTGTCAGGAGAAATTTCTCAGGGTGGGCCTGGTGCCTCAGGACCTGTGGAACTCGTGGTTTAAATCTGCATTGTTAGTTTCTGGCATGGATTAGCACTTAAAAACAGTTCTCCATTTAAGATGCTTTTGATGTTTAATTTCCTCATAAGCATCATGAAGAAGTGTTCCTTCTTTTCCAGAATGTTTATTGTTTCGGTGATTTCTCCTTGACTAGAAATAAACAAACCACCTGTAGCCAAGATAAGCGGGAATGTGGTGATTACCTTGCCCATGGACACAGCGGAGCTGGATGGCTCCAAGTCCTCAGACGACAAGGGGATAGTCAGCTATCTCTGGACCCGTGATGAGGGGAGCCCAGCGGCAGGGGTAAGTTTGCTAGGAGCTGGAGAGCCTCACAAGGTCAAGGTGGTGAGCTGGGGGTTGGAGGCTGAGCCAGTCATTCTAGTATCTGTCTTAACCAGGTGGTCTCTTGTAGCAAATCTGGATTCTCTCTGAAATCCAGGGCAGTTAAATGACTTGCCTAGGGCCATTCTGCAAGATAGTGTGCCACAGAATGTGTTTCTGTGCCCTGTTCCAAGCAGCTGTGAGCTGCAGAGCCATTACAGGGCAGGAACTGCCCAGAGCTGAAGCCATCTAGCCCAGGAGGGCCTCAGTTTTGACTGAAGCAGCAGCTGACTCTGAAAGGAGTGTGGTTTTGTTCTGCAACGCAGATGTGTTGTTCAACCCCATAGGAGGTGTTAAATCACTCTGACCACCACCCCATCCTTTTCCTTTCCAACTTGGTCGAGGGAACCTACACATTTCACCTGAAAGTGACTGATGTGAAGGGCGAGAGTGACACAGACCAAAGCACTGTGGAGGTGAAACCTGGTGAGTGAGTGCCTCTAGTCGTGAGACTAAGTGTGATTGCTGCATCAGCCCAGCAGGCCCTCAATCCTGATACCCCTTCCCCGTGCCTGGACAGATCCTGATAGCATATAAAGCTTTTAAAAAACTCTAGAAACCCTAAGCTGAAAAATCCTTAGAGACTGTCTGTTCCAACAGTACCTCCACCCACGCAGGAATATGGACCTCCCCCTGCTCTTACCAGACAGAGAAACAGAAGCTCAGAGAGGGCAGGGCTTGCTCAGTGTCACACAGTGGTTGTGTCAGAGCTAGGCCTTTGTGCCACCAGCACAACACTTTCTCCTCTACACATGACTGACAAGAAGGCTCAGGGTACTCTGGGAATCCGAGCACAGGAATAACTTGAGTCATAATGTCTCATCAGCATCCAGATGCAGAAAACAATTTATTTTTATAAGTTGAGCCTCAGGCTTTATCTGACAACCCAGGGAAGATACTGGTGCCTTTACATTTTTCAGATTTGCAGAAATAAAATTTCCCTCTTAAATAGAATCATGTTTTTATTTTACTTGAAGGCTTATTTAGTATTGGAAAGGAAATAAGTGTATGTGGCGGGGAGAAGGGCTTTATAAATTCCTGAGCATCTGATGAGAAGGCATTAACTCTAAACCTGCTTGTTATTTTGTGGGTCAAGCTCATATGTGGGTGTCCTAAACGGAAGGGATCTTGGCAGGTCATCCTACCTCTGTGCAGGACAATAGTCAAGAAACTATAAAGTCTCTTCTGTGTTTAAAATCAGATTGCAGAGAGTCACTAATTATATAAGTTCTACATCAGGGTAGGAAAGTGGCACACCCAGGTATGTGAATAAGGTCTTCTGAATGACCACTTTTAGCACCCAAGTGCAGAAAAGTCTTTAGGACATAATGGGAAGTAAGGCAAATGGTCTCACAGTTCCAGGGTTGGGGAAATATTGTGCAGCTCTGATGTTGCTCAGTATCTGTTTTGTGACTGCCTGGATTTACTTAGTGTTTACTGTTTTTAAACCTGTAGGGCAGATACATTCCTGTTATTGGTAATAAGATTGTTGTAGACAAAGTATAGAAAGTCACTGAAAATCAGATGTGGAGCGGGAGAGATTGTGAGATACCCCCACTTGGCCTGGACAGCTCAGCAGGGCCAACTGGGCAGAGGCTTTTGAAACAAACCTCAAAATGTCTGTCTCTTCCCTACTCCCTTCCTGAAATCCTGTTGCCTTCCCCACTCCCTTCCTGAAACCCTATTGCCTCTCTGCTTCGGCCTGATGCCCAGGACAGATGTGCAATTCTCAGGTTGGAGTAGCGATTTGGAAGCTCTCCGTGCCAGCCCCAGACCGCACTGGTAGAATTCAGTCTTGTCCCTCTCCCTTTGAGGGCCACTTGCGTTTCTGAATGCACTCAGTACTTCCTCTCTTGCAAAGGCAGGTGCACGGTGGCAGGGCTCTGTTAACTCTCCTACTTCCAAAGCCATGACTGATCCACATGCTTTCCAGATCCCAGGAAAAACAACCTGGTGGAGATCATCTTGGATGTCAGCGTCAGTCAGCTAACTGAGAGGCTCAAGGGGATGTTCATCCGCCAGATTGGGGTCCTCCTGGGGGTGCTGGATTCCGACATCATTGTGCAAAAGATTCAGCCGTACACGGAGCAGAGGTAGCTGGGCAATTAATGGGGGGAGAAAAGGAAAGACTTGGACCTCCTGGGTTTCTTGACTGAGCTGAGAAATAGTGTGGGTAGATAAAGAAGGGTGGGCTGTCTGACCAGGAACCACCCATGGTGTCCATTTCCTTACGAACTTTCCTAATACAGGTCACACACTCTGTACTAGACACTGCATCGGGGTACCAAGGTACAAAGTCAGAAGAGGTCCATTATGTTTGATGGCCGTGGTCTCGTAGGGGAGCTAATCAAGTAAACATATGCTGTCAGTACAAGATGGACTGACAGAATGTGTGGTGTCATGGAGACACAGAGGCCAGGAAAATTCCTCCAGAAGGGGTGGGGTGGGGACAGTGCAGAGATTTTCCAGAAGAGGTAAAATTTGCATTGATGAACCCTGGGAGGACAAGGAGGGAATTCAGAAATAGGGAAACCACATGGGCAGGAGTTCTGTGGTGTGAAGGTACAGTTCCTCTGGAAGAAGTCATTTGGTTCAGAGCACTTAATGGTGTGCCAGTATGTGGTGGAAGATAAGACTGGCTATGTAGACAGAACAGTCATAAGCAAGCCAAGGAGTTTAGTTTTAATAGTTTGGGCAGGAGGACTCAGGGTAATTTATGTGTGTGAAGATCTTGTTTGTTTTGTTTTTGAAGCAAAGACACTTGATTGATTGATTGATTGACTGATTGATTGATTGGGGACATCAGTAGGTGGGGGCTAGACTGCAATAGGGAGAGACTGAAGGCTAGAGATGAGTCAGGAAGCTTTTGAACTAGTCTAGTAAAAAGGTAATAAAACCTGAACTAAGGTAGCAGCAGTAGAAATGGTAGAAGAGAAGAAATTAAAAAGAAACTCATAGGTAAATCAATAGGACTTGGTGGTCCTTTGGGAATGAAGGTGAGTGAGGCATCAAGTGAAGCTTTGGTTTGATAGATGGTGAATGCCATTAACTGAGATTAGAGCTACAGAAGGAACCAGTTTGGAAGAAATTTTATGAGCTCAGTTTTGACTGTTGAATCTGGGGAAATGTTTCATCAGATAGTTGCAAGTATAGGCTGGAACTTGGATAGAAGGAGAAGCCAGAGATAGGGAGTCCTGCACACAGGCAGGAGTCAAAGCCGTGAGGATGATGAGTCACACCGCGGGAGTATCAAGAGGGTTGAGGACAGAACTCTGGAGAACACCAGTATTTAAGGAGGGAGGCAAAGAAAAAAAGAGCCAGCAAAGGAAACTAAGAAACAGCAGGCAGAGAGGTGGGAGGAAAATCAGGTGGGAGTGGTCTGCTGAAGTTAAGGGACAGTTGGCAGGAGGGTGGCTGCCAAAGGGCTCAGAGGCTACAGAGACAGAGTGTGGTGAGGATGCAAAACAGGCTTTTGGGTTTGTGATCAGTAGGTCATCAGAACTATAGTGAGGCCATCTTACTTAGATGTTGGGGGCAGAGGGCAGATTCATTTCATGGTTTGAGAATGCAGAGATAGTTAGTATAACACCTCTTTGAAGAGGTTGGTGCTGAAAATAAATATGCGAGACAAGATCAAAAGAACACCTTTTAAAGGTAGGAAATACTTGAGTGTTTTTATGGACTGAGGAGGAGGTGCAGAAGTAAAGTAGGTGGTGGAGATGAAGAAGTGGGTCTGGGGAACTGGCCCCGGGCAAAGCAGGAGCACCACTTGCTCTGGAGAGAGGAGGGAGGGAGGGAAGATATGCTGTACTGGGGGAAGTTAGAGCTAGAGAGCATGAAGTTTGAGAACACTGGTACAAAAGTTCTGTGTTTTGTCTTAGAAACTGGAAGTAAGGCCATCTGCTTTGAGGAGGTGGAAATGAGATGGGCAGCCTGTGGGAAGTGGTAAAGGTGGGGAGCAGCAGCTCCAGCAAAGAGCTGGCTTCAGGCAGTACTGAGCTCTCAGCCAAGGTTAGAGGCATGAGGTGAGAGCAGTAGTTCCCAATTCTAGCTACATACAGAATCGCCTGGAGCTTGTGGGAACATACTATTACCCTGGCTTCTCCCCCAGAGATTATGATTCAGTTGATCTGCAGTGAGGCCTGGGCACTTAAAATCCAAAAGCTCCCCAGGTGAGTCTAATTTGCAATCAAGGTTCACTAGGTCAGAGCCTTGTGATTAGTGCTTTTAAGCTCTGCTCAGCAGCCGGGGAGTAGGAACAGAGAGAGTGGCTGCTTGGATTGATCCAGGCTGGTGGGAATTGACTGGGTAGAAGCAGTGGAAAGACATTACTGAGAGTGCTGATGGAGCATGGTGGGAGGGTCTGCTAGCATGCTGTCGCTGCATCTGGGGCATGGGGAGGAGGGAAGCGTCACGGTGACTCTGGATTTCTGGCTTGGACTGGATGGGCCAAGTTGAGGAATTCAGGAAGAGGATACGATTGGAGGCAGATAGAATATTACAGTGGAAAGAGCTAGCTCAATAAATGGTTATTTTATTTTGAGATGTGTTGGATTTGAGGTTCTCATGGGAGATCAGGGGTAGATACTCAGCAAGCATTTGCAAGTATAGATCTGATCACTCAGGAGAGACATGGGAAGAGGAGATAAAGATTTGAGGGTTATTAGTACATAGAAAGAAATTGAAATTATAAGCATGGATTAGGTAACTGGGAGAAAATAATGAGAAATGGACCACAGGTCTTTTATGGTAAAGGTTTGTTTCTTGATTCTGGAATTTTTCACTCCCCAGTGTTACTAGCCTCACTGCCCAGCAACCTTTTAGAAAGTCTTTTATGACAGTGCTTCCCAAACTATCATGGCCACACACAGAAAATGATGCTGTTTATATGGCACTGTGGGATAGATGGACAAGGCTGCTTGTACCGGAAGCAACTGGTCTAGGACCTCTGGGGTGCCGGGTCCCACCTAGCCCCTTGTGCTGAGGGGATCAGTATCTTGGGCACAACTGTAACCCAGTGTGACCTGGTTGGGAAGGTTCCATTTGTGAGATGAACATGGAGTCAGGAAACAGGCTACCAAAAATAGAGGCCAAGGCATAGAGAACAGATTCTATGGCCCCCCAAATGTGAGTTCAAACACAATCGGCCTTGGATGGAAACTGACAACCAGCAAACAGGTTCTAGGCACGGCATAACATAACCTTGCACCAGCCACACCTCTGGGCAGTGTCTTTCTGTTGCTGTCATAGTAACGACCATGTTGGCTCTGCTTTGACCTATGGGTAATGTTTTGATGCTGTCCAGCAATTACATTTCACAGAGCACTGTGGTTTGCCTTTCAGGTAATCTAGGTACAAAACCAACAGCGCTGCAGTTGTAGCTGCAGCCATACGCAGATCTGTTTTCCTGACCTCCAGTTACCTGTTTGCAGCTGGGCAGCGCAGGGCATTTCTAAAAGCCTAGGCTTTGGAGTCAGACACATCACGGTTAAGATCTGGCTCTGCCATAATTAACTGTGTGACCTTGGGCAAGTTACTTCACCCCTCTGAGCCCCAGCGTTGTCCTCTGTAAAGTGGAGGTGGCACTGATAACACTTTCTCACTGGCTTGCTGTGAGAGAATGCCTAGGATATTGAGCACAGTGTCAGGCACAGCAGAAGATCCCTGGCGAATGGAGCTACCATTCTTGTTGACTGCGTCAGCTCATTCATACTGTTGCCTGTCTCTGCAGCACCAAGATGGTATTTTTTGTTCAAAATGAGCCTCCCCACCAGATCTTCAAAGGCCATAAGGTGGCAGCGATGCTCAAGAATGAGCTGCAGAAGCAAAAGGCAGACTTTCTGATATTCGGCGCACTGGAGATCAATACTGTCAGTGAGTAATTCTTGGGAAGTTGGGAACAAGAGCTCACCTGGCATTGCCCACAGCTCACCTGGCAGTCTCTGCTGTCCTCAGGCTTCAACTTCTGTTCTTCAAGAACATAAAGAAAACCACTTTCCTCTGCTGCCATTATCATGAAAGGGTCTCAGTTCATTGCCAGGGTTCTTAACATGGAGTGCACAGGCAACCCCAGACAGCATTCGGGGGCACTGTGAGTTAGAGAAAAAAAATTACGTCTTTATTTTTACCAACCACTAACTGAAAGTCATTATTGCCCTCTGTTCTGAAGGTAGACACAAACTACAGTAGTATTAACAGAATGTGTGACTGTGATGCTGTGGAAATCACAGATAATCTTGTGTCACACTACTTGATGAGCTGTCAGTCCATGCCATCACTACCCAGAATTACAACAGTTGTTAGACCCACTTCTCAATCTTGTTGCTTACTGTTTTAATAAAGACACCCATATGTTATTATTTAAAAGTTTTATATTCTTAAGACTATAATACTAAGTATTAAATAATTAAGAAAAAATACGTAAGTATTTAAAGAATATATTCTATATAATTGCTTTCTTTTGTAATACTATGGAGTATATTTTGGCAATTAAATTATTCAGAGAAGGGGGTCTATGGAACATGAAAAATTAAGGACTGCTAATACAGAGAAAAAAGTAAAAACAGTCTGGAACCATTGTCCACTGGCGTTTCTCACCATTCCCATTTTATCTGACTGTGATGATAATTACAGGCCACATGCCCCAAAACACATACCTCTGAAAGCTCTCAGGGCAGGTCTCCAGGAAATTTCACCACAGGCCATCGAGCAGGAGGCTTTGCATCGTCCCAGGCTCTGGGGGCTGGTGTTCCCCTGGTTCTGACTCGTTGCTTCTTTTCCCTTGCCTGCCACTGTCAGCGTGCCAGCTGAACTGTTCTGACCATGGCCACTGTGATTCATTCACCAAACGCTGTATCTGCGACCCTTTTTGGATGGAGAATTTCATCAAAGTGCAGCTGACGGATGGAGAAAGCAACTGTGGTGAGTTTCTGCTCGGCACTGGGCCAGCTGGTTTGGCACTGGATGTGGTTTCTGAGTGGAGCAAGTGGGTGTTGGTGTTTCCGAGGCAGATGAGCCAGCGTGGAGAAGAACTTTGTGTATTTTCTGTTTGGGAAGTACTTTTGCTTCCTTCCTCCATGGTTGCCTACGGTTAGGGGAAAACTCTGAAGCAGTCTTGTAAGAAGAACCAGGCTTAAAGCAGACCAGCTGCAGGGCCCCTGTCTTTTTGCCATGCCCACATACTATAGCCTGAAGGAGGCCCTCTGGTTTCTGATCCCCCGTCTCTCTGTTAAAGCTGCTTACAACCTGCCCCACTGTCCCAGGGATTCAGAGCAGGGAGTGGAAAGCAGGGGCAATTCAGAGGGTTTTAAACTTCCATTGCCTTCAGCTTCAAGGTCTCACCTTCCCAGACTCAGCTTGTCTGCAGCTCCCACCCGAAGTGGGCAGTGCAGACTGCCTCTGGCCTGTCTCACAGCCCTCGCTCCGCTTGTTTCTCTCGGCAGAGTGGAGTGTGCTGTACGTCATCATCGCCTCCTTTGTCATTGTGGTCGCCTTGGGAGTCCTGTCCTGGACTGTGATCTGTTGTTGTAGGAGGTAAGATGCGTTCTCCTTGGAAGTTCACTCGGGCTTCTTGCCCTTTCATGAGGAAGGTGCTGTGCACCGGGTTTCCTCCTGTGGTGCTGCTGAGGGCAACAGTGACGCATTCCTTTGGCTAAGTGCCTGTCGCCGCAGGGGTCTGTAGCCTAGGGAGCGGCCGGCCCACGTGTGGGCCTGTGGCTCCACATGCAGGCTCACCACCTTAACACACGAGTTCTTCATTCTTTTGCCTTTCTTTCCCATTGGGACTCACATGCGTGCATGTTTTCACATACTTGTAAACTTAGGTTAATGTCTGCCTCGTGAGAACACTCAGGATGAGGTACGCTGGGTTTTCATTTGAGTCCTTTTGTCTAGTCCTGTACTATTGAATGGTAACATTTACTGTATGTTTTTCATTATTAATAATAAGTGTGATTTCTACATTTATTATGTACCAAGCACCATGATAATTTATACATAATACCTTTCTTAAAAGCTTCCCAGCCTTCTCTCTTACAGATAAGGAAACATAGGCTTAGGAAAATGATGTCACCTGTCCATGGACAGTTAAAAGTGGCAGAGCTGAGATTCAGCTGGCAATATAACATCACATAAAGCTTAGAAAATTAAAAGAATTCTTAAAAATACCCACCACCCTAAGACCACTGCTTTTAACAGCTTTGTCTGTGTGATGCTTTCCTCCACCCCACCCGAGGCATAGCGTTTTCATTTTCTTTATATTTTTAACCAGTTCTCCTTCATTGCCCTGTGGAATGGTGCATACATGCTAAGATAGTCATATTTTCCGTGGCTTTTCCCAGAATTGATAGGAATATTGAAGCACAAATCAGTTGCCACATTCGCCTGCTGAGAAGCAAGGAGAAAACAGCCCTCCTGTTAAGCAGCTTCCCTGAGACAGGGCCCCACCTGCAATCTGGCCATCATCCTGTGGTGGGCTGCCTGAGCCTCTCACAGAACCTCTTTCCTGAGCAAGGGATTGTGTTTTTCAGGCAAAAAGGAAAACCCAAGAGGAAAAGCAAGTACAAGATGCTGGATGCCACAGATCAAGAAAGCCTGGAACTGAAGCCAACCTCCCGAGCAGGCAGGGCCCTGGGAGCTGGGGCTCTCTAGATTTGTGCACACTCCCTGTGAAGAGCCATGTCACTAGTCCCACCTGAATGTGTCACTAGCAGCTGATTGCTGGAAAAGCATTTTGTCCCTTGCCCAGTGAAGGTCTAGGGTTGACCCTGCCCTGCTCTGGCAGAGGCTGCCTGCTGGCTGGACTCCGACCCCAGGGCTCACTGCTCAGCGCTCCTTCACTCTGCAGGGGGGCTGGTACCCTACTTTGCTTTGCCTGCTCATTTTCATCGGGCCTCCCATCTGGAGTTCAGCCTTTCAAGCTGCTCCCCATAGTCAGGTTCAGGGACCTTGGTCTCTTAAACCTGACCTGTCTTATTTAGGCAGACAATAAGGGAAGGTGATGAGATCAAAGTCAGTGTCTGCCAGCTGATCCCCTTTCCCGTCAGCCTTCCTTTCCCGACTTCCTCTTCCCAGTATTTGGCAGAGGGGCCCCAGGCTCCACCACTGTCTTAGCACAGGCGGGAGGGTGGCTCCCCCACTGCTCCAGGTGCACGGGCCTCACCTGTCAGGCGCCTCCCACCTAAGAGTTTCCAACTACATGGGCACCAGTGCAGCTTTCGGGATGGGCCAGAGGGTTAGGGCAGCCGGAGGGCCTTGTGGGGCAGGTGCTGTCAGGCTGATGTTCATCGTGGTGCCACAGGACAGGCATGGTCCATTAAGGGAGCTGGACCCATAGAGCTCTTCTTAAACACGCTGCAAGTAGATCTACATTTATACAAAGTGTTAAACACATCTCACACTTAAAACTTTGTATTAGGAGGGGCTGTAGGGAGATATAGAGAGTTCTAAGACAGGCTTTGCTCTCCAAATTTGAGTCTAGTAAGGGAGAAAGCGTGCCAGGCAGTCTGAGCTCTGAACCCAAGCTGCTTGGTTAGAGGGCACTGGGTGGGGTGTTGCTGGAGGCCATGGGGCTTGTAAACCAAGGAGTACAGCCAGAGCCTCCCACCCAGAAATACTAGGGGGCAGGCCAGGAGGTGAAAGCCTGCACAGCCCACCCTCCACGGAGCAGCCAAGGTTGTTTTCCTGTTACTCTGATAAGATTTTTCCACCCCTTGAAATACTCCAGTGACTTACTTGTGGTCTAGAAGACATGGCCTTGGTCAGCTTACCTGAGTTTGCCTGAGATCTTCCTGTTTGCTGATCTGTCTTTTCTAAACAAATCGTGCTGGTTCTCTCTGTTTAGAAAGCTCTCTCATCTCTCCCTTAACCTGCTAGTTAAAGGCATGCTCCTCTTTCTCCTACATGTGTGTTTCAGCATTTCTGTCACTGCAGCATATCAGTTATGTATTTGCCTGTCCTTTTTCCAGTCAGTGAAATCCTTGAGGGCAGGACTCTGTCTTACTCATCTGTGAATATAAATGCAGACCACTGTGTACCAGGCCCTGTGCCAGACACTGGTTACACTGTGGTGAACCAAACAGGCTCTGCTCTTGTGTGGCTTATATCAGACAGACATTAAACAAGCAGACTCACAAATACACAAAATATGAAGACCAACAGTCTTTATAAAGAAATCACTAAAGCTGAGACCCAGGATTTGAGTATGAGTTAGCCATGTAAAGACTCTGGGAAATAGCATTCCATGCAAAGGAGCAAAGTCAGTGAAGGTCCAGCTGCTGGGAAGAGCAGAGGGCATTTGAGGAAGTAGAGGACAGTGACACGCTGGGCATGGTGTGTACAGGGCAGGTGGCACAAGGCTGGCAGGTAAGCAGGGACCTTGCTGTGTGCTCCTTCTAGGAGTGATGGGAAGCCACAGATAGTTTAAGGGGGTGAAGGTACAATTGATTTACATCTTAAAGAGACAACTGTGGCTGCTTTGTGAAGGAACTGGAGTGGGGCAAGAGGGTGAGAGGAGAGTAGACAGAATGTGCTTATGGGAGAAAAGATGAGGAGATTGAGAGGTAGACAGATTCCAGCTACATTTGGGGGAATGCTTGGTGCAGTTCCTGGCATGTTGGCTGGGGCATAGGAGACAAAAGGAGAAGGAAAGGATGGTGCTTGAGTCCTGCTCTGAGCCTGTATGGACCACGTATGGTGTTCTCCGAGTCGGGAGACTGGAGAGGAGGTGCTGGAGAGAGAAAGTGCCTGGTTGGGGACAGTGATGAACGGGGTTAAGGAAATAAGGCTGGAGATTGGCGAGGACTACCCTGTGAGAAGTTCTGAACATCAGCCTGAGTAGTTAAGCATTCTGATGGTGATGAGGAGTGACAGCTTGAAAGTGCCGGCTTCGGAAAGTTAGCCTAGTGGCAGCATTTAATCAGTGGAAGGGGAGAGAGCACAGGTGGAGGCCAGCAAGGGGATTTCTGTGAGGGTCCAAGGTGGAGGTGGTGATGGCTCAGCATGGGGTCAGTGGGATGCAGGGATGGGAAAGGTCAAGGCTGACTTCTGACCTACGAGACCGAGGATGATGGCACGGCTCACAGAAGTAGGACTCATGTGGCGATGGCTTAGGGGAGAGAAAACTAAATGGAACTCGGCAGAACAGGACTGGAAGTGTCGAAGTAGGAAGTTCCTGTGTGCTGGTGAGGGTCACCGTATAAGTGGGTCACAGCCGCTATTGGGAGAGTGTGGAGGGACAGAAGAGGAGTCCGGGGCCGAGGAGCCCAGGAAGAGTGTTGGCAGGGGAGGGGATCAGGGAGTGGGCTGCAGTGTTTGCTGCTGCGTTAGGAAAGGATGAGGACAGCCGTGACGCGGGTCCCTGAAGAGCTGGGGGAGATTGGTGCTGTCAGCGGGAGTGGGAGTGCAGGCTATTTAGGAAGTAGGTAGGCAGTGAGAAACCGGAGGCCCTAAATATTTAAAGTCTTTTAGAAATTGAGCAGTAAAAAATGGAGGAGAGGACGGGTCTGAGGGCAAGGGCTCTCTCAGATGGGGTCCTGAGCAGATCTGCAGACAGGGATGCTGAAGGCAGAGGGGAAGTTCCTGAGGAGGGTGGAGACAAGTGGATCTAAGGGCCCTTCCGAATCAGGAGCCAGGGGCCAGCTGTGCCGGCTTGGAGAGGTGAAGCGGGAAGGGCCTTATGGCCCCTTCTACTGGTGGGGGTAGCAAGGGAGAGCCACAGGGTGGCCAACACACCAGATCACCACGAGGAGACATGTGGGGCAGCAGGCCCTCTCCCGTGGACAGTGTCGGCTGAGGGGGCATCAGTGTCCCCTGAGGCCTGATGTGGTCTGAGCAGGCCAGGGGCCCCAGCTCTTGCTCTGGGTTCTGGGGATCAGTTGTACAGCGTAGAGCAGGGTCACTAGGAGAACGAGGAGAATGGGATTCAGAAGAGGAGTAGAGTTAGTGGCTCTGTTGTGCAGAAATATGGCATATGCAGAAGTGGTGGAAACAATGCTGTCTGCTGGGAGCCAGTTGGGCTGGGGTGAGGAGTGACTGCTGACCTGGAGCCCAGGGCCCAGGCCTCAGGGGCGCCAGGCAGAGCATGGGGGGTGCCCACCCTTGGGCTCAGCTGACATTGAGCAGCTGTGCTTTGGTTTGGTTTGGTGTCTATCCAATACTGATTTACTCTTGTTGATTTCAATTGAAGTATATTCAGTTGAACTGTATGAAATTACTTACATTTGACTTTCTGACCTATAAAAATGGCCATTTTTAATGGCTTATCCTGGGTCATTAAAACAGAAAGTCATAAGCACAGCTGGACGGTTCTCAGCAGTGAACATGCCCTTGTATCAGCAGGACCCTTTTGCTTCTTTGCAGTCCCTGACTCTGCCCGACCCCCAGTTTACTGCTAATAGCTTGGAGCAGTTTGTGAATGGGGACATTGTGTTTGGCCCCTCGCACTCAACGTCACACTTAGACGTTCTTCCATGTTGCCCCTGTAGCCGGGGCTGGTTTGTTCGCGGCTTTGTCAGTCCTATTGCTGTGTTCATTCAGGTATACTGTGGACGGAGACTGAGTTCTTCCATTTTGGGCTGTCATGAGGGGTGCTGCTGTACATGTTCTTGTCCATGTCCTTTGGTGGACATGCATATGCACCTGGGAATGGAATTGCTGAGTTTAGAAAATGTGTATGTTCAGCTCCCACTGGTGTACCCAGTGTCCCAGCTTGTCCTGTTTCGTGGGTGACGCCCCCTCTGTGTTTCCAGCAGAGCAGGAGCTCATGGTGGGTGGGCCCCGGGGGGTGCTGTGTGCTGTGGAGCCAAGGCCTCCTCTCCCCTCGGGCTCCTGTCCTTCACAGCTGTAGCCCAGAAGAACTTCCAGAAAGAAGGGAAGCTTTGAGTGGGTGCTGGAAGGACCAAGGAGGCAGGGGCGAGTATTTCATCTACAGGGGCAGAGTGGGGGTTTGAGGGCCTTGACTCTCCCCTGGGCTTGGTTCTAATGTCGGCCACTGTCTCCCCACCACCCTGGGGAAGCCCAGGATGCAGGTGTTCTCCAACCCTGCTGCGCTGCTTTTCCTGAGACTCAGTGGGAGGCCTGGCTGTCCCAGTCACGTCCCAGAACTGTCCCCCGAGATGGACAAGGCTGGGTGCGCTCCTTGGCCTGAGCTGCAGAGCACTGCACAGACGGCCAGCGCCTGGGCAGGTCCCCAGCGTGTGGTCAAGTCACAGGTAGTCAGAGTCTGGAAGTCCTCAGCATGCATAGCCTTAAGTCATGTCTGGCCAAGAAGGGACTCATCTCAGGACACCTTCTGGTGTTGGGGGGGTCAGATGGAACCAGGAGGGAGAGTGAATGCTGGGTGATGAGGGATCAAGCACACCTCACCCGATGGCCACTTTTCTAAGGAGGCAGGTTAGTTTGTGGGGTGGGCCAGGCCTGGAGCACTGCTGAGCTGGGTTCTCAGTGCTGCCAGTTACCGCTCTGGTGCTGCCAGCTCAGGCTGCCTCTGCTTTTCCTGGAGTAATAGTTGAATCAGCCAGAGGACAGCCATCTTGCTGTAGCTGGGGTTTGCCCAGAAGTTATTACCAGACCACAATTTACAGCGTGGCCTCTCCAGCTGTAGGGAGAGCTCTTGAGGGGACTACAAAGGCTTGCAGAATCTCAGGCATCTTTTCTGACTTCAGTGCGTCCTGTGGGTCCTGTTTGTGTGTTCTGATGAGCTGATGGCGTGGAACTGAATCTGAATCCCCACCAGTCGGGCGCTCCCAGCAGGAGAGACCTCTCCAAGTCTCCAACCTGCTCCCCCTCCTTGGTGAAGCCAGAGCAAACACTGGCCTAGGCTGAAGCTGCGTCCTCCCTCGCCAAGCAGCGCTGGGAACTGGCAAGCGCTTTACATCCACACTGTGCTGGGGTGCAGTGAAAAGCCCATTCCCTAGAGCTCGGGTTTTCCTTTGCTTGCCTACCTCCCAGGAACTCCCCCCTGATGATAAGGGAGATGATAGGACATTGCACATTTCAGAGAATGAGCAGACTGTCATTGGACGGCCCTAAGCAAAGCTAGTAGGGATGAAGAGTTGGCACCGGGACCCAGGCCTGTTGGGCTCCGGTCTGCCCTCTCTGCAATGCCCACTTACAGGGCTGTTCAGCAAGCCAGCACTGGGGTCTGCCCCTCCCGGCCCAGGGAGGGGATCATGAGCCTGGTCACTGTGCTCATCTTTGCCTAGGGCAGGGTGCAGGGTGTGGCTCAAACTGGGGAAGGTTCGTGCTCCTGACACTGGGTGCCTTGCCTCCCTTGCAGGAATCAAACAGAAAGGCCCAGCGCTGAGCAGCAGCCTGATGCACTCTGAGTCGGAGCTAGACAGCGACGATGCCATCTTCACATGGCCAGACCGGGAGAAGGGCAAACTCCTGCATGGTCAGAATGGCTCTGTGCCCAACGGGCAGACCGCGCTGAAGACCAGGAGCCCACGGGAGGAGATCTTGTAGCCTCCTGGCCTGTCCCCTCAGGGTTGGGGTGGGCAGTACCAGGGCCCAGAGCATCTACAGGCTGGTTCTCGTACCTCCCATGTCTGTGGCAGCTGTTCTCCCAGCACCTGCTGGTCACTCCACCCTGGCACCCCCACCAGGGCTGCTGGTACTTGAACCCAGAGACATTCTCTGGGAACCCTTGAACGAAGCTGTGAACCAAGAGTTTTTCTTTAAACCCATCCATAACTCCTCCACCCCCTGAATGTCCCTACCTCAGGGCCTCCTTTATTGCAAACCTCTCCCCTGCTGCAAGGGCGGGCACAGCCAGCTCTGACCTTCCCTCCATCTCCCTTCTGGCCTGGCTGTGCCCCACCTCGCTCGCTGCAGAACCAAGCAAAGCCAGCCCCTGCGCAAGAGCCTGCCTGTGGGCAGCACTCTGTTCTCCTATTTGAGGAGCACACCTGTTGCTGGGTCCAGAGGAAGTGGGCCCCCTCTCTCCTTACCACCTATATGCTAGGCTGGTACTGCAGAATTGGGTCTGGCCCAAGAAAAGGGAATTGCTGGCTGGCCGAGGAATGGAGGGGGCCCCATCAGCTGCTGGGCTGTTGTGACAGAGCAGCTAGGCCAGACGCAGACTATCTCCCCTCTTCTTCTCACCAGTCTGCTGCTCCCGGGCTCAGGCCACCATGTCATGTGTCCGGAGGAGACAGCCACAAATGGACTGGAGCGTTGTGGCATGAGAGTGCATGTGTGCGACTGCCCTGCTGCAGTCTCCTGGGTCTGCCTGTCGTCTTCTCTCGTTCTTTGCATGTGTGTGTGTTAGAGTGTGTGTGCATTGGCTCCTTGGAACAGAGATTCCTGAGTCCCTCTGGCCCTGACTGATGTCTGGGTATCTGGGTGTTGAGGAGAGGAACTTCGGGGAGTCACTTTTTAAAAAGAAACTTAGAGTTTACACTACTACACTACTGTCTGTTGTGAGATGATTAAACATGGTATTTAATTGTACGTGCTGGGGTGTGCTTGTGCTAGCTACACTGCCGACCTGTGTGACATGATGACCCCCAGGAGGGGAGCTGTGGGCCTGGTGTCAGCATGTGGCACCCTCGGGGCTGGGATTCTGCTGCTGGTGGAGGGTGCACATGTCTGGGTCCCTGCTGGCCAGCCACTCCCCGTTTGGCTTTCGGGGAGGAGAATTTTCTGTCCTTTCTTTCTTCCATACCTTCTGTTAACACAAAAATGATTCACAAGCTCTCCCCCTCCACCCCATGGCCAAGTTGGGGGGTGGGGGGGACAAAGTGTCCTAACGCTGAGGGTGCGGCCTTTAGAATTTTGGGCCCTTGCTCTTCCCTTTTGGGTTTCCAAAGCAGTAGGAGTTGGCTTCATGCCCCCAGAACACTGTGGTATTTGTATGGCAGCTTGCTGGACATACAGGGCAGGAGGAGGGCTGGTGTACAGCCTTGAACTCCCAGAAAAGGGCATAGGGAGAGGACCATGAGGTCATACTCTACCCAAGGCTCTGTGCACAAAAACCAGCTGAGGGGAGGTGGTATTGGTCCTGTTTTTACAGATACAGAAACAGAAGTGTAGCAAGAAGTCAACAGTCCACACAGGTGGTAAACGATAGAATTAGGCCCCACAAAGCCTGTGCTTGGTCCGGATCAAAATCACCAGGAGGACTTGTGAAAACAGATTGCAGGGCCCCACTGCTGAGTCTCTGAGTGGGTCTGGGGTGGAACATGAGAATTTGCCTAAGTTCCCAGGAGATGCTGTGCTGCTGGTCTGGGGACCACACTCATAACTGCTTGTCTAGAAGTATTCAGTACAACCTGAACAGGAGGCAGCAGCTGCCTGTCTTGAAGGAGGCTGAGACAATCCAGAGAAGTAAGAAAGATCTGCCAGGGACCTTGCGGCAGGCTGAGGGCAAAGGCTTTCTCAGTTGTGCGAGTTGGACTGCAGAGGAGTTGGTGGGTGGGCCGGTGGCCGGGACTTGGTGAGGTCAGTGTGTTGGAACTGCCTGAAAGGATTTGGAAAGGAACTGCAGACTTCATACCAACTCACTGGCTTTGTAGATTTTTCCTATTTTCTTTAGGTTCATTTCTACATCTCATTTATCTCAGCCACAACTCATTGAAGGATATGTTTTCATCTCCATTTCTGAGATGTATAAACTAATTTTTCATCTCCCACTCCTCCCACCAAAAAAAGGACAAAACCCGAAAACTGATGCTCTCCTGGCTTGGAGTCTTGCATTGAGAAGACTGCCACATCCCTCCTCTTGCCAAACTCATGGAGAGGCAGAATTCCCTGGACTTGCTTAGAGCTGGGCTACTTCCAAGTGCCTCAAAGGCACCCTTCTGAAATAACCCTGAGTTTCAGGAGCCTGGGAAACCCTGCCTTGACCAGCTTGGCTCATCAGTCCCCCACCCTCTCCAACAAAGGCCTCCCAAGTCTTTCATTTTCTAGACTGGCTAGAAGGCAGGCCAGTAGAGGGCATCCTTGCATTTCTCCAACCCCGCTAGGTACTGTGTACAGAGAAGAAACAGCCACCCGGAAGCAAAACTCCCAGGGCTGGAAGGTGGCAGCCTGGCCCCTCACCTTGGGGAGAGACTGAGCCTTGTTCTTCAGTTTCCCTGTGAGCCTCTGATCCATGTAAGCAGTTAAAGAGATTGTTCTCTGAACACAGGCATGGAACGAGTGTGCACTGAGTGCCACTAGCCCCCGGAGAAGAGGTCTGAGGAGCTTGGATCAGCACCCCAACTGCTTTGTGTTGACTAGTTCAAGGGCTCCTTAATATTCTTGGGTCAAGCTGGGGCCACTGTGAGGACCCCTTTCACACAGCTAACCTCCCAGTTTGTGGCTGGTGCTGGTAGTGGCCACCTAACACCCAAGACTCCACTGGTGGAGCTGTGGCTGTCCACTCTTGTGCCTCCCCATAAAGGGGTGTGCACTTCTCAATGTCCAAATGCTGCCAAAATAGCTAAAGCCCCCTGCTCCTGGAGGGTATCGGTCAAGCTTTTGGGGAAGAATAGGCCTTGGGTGGCCTTCCATCCAATTCTCAGTGTGGGTAAACCGCCTGGTGGGTCACCGTGAGGCTAGTCTAACCTTCCGGCCACAGTTGGGATTTCCCTCTCCTTGCTTCTAACTAATCAGCACATTCCTGTGCATCAGCATCAGGGGTTCTCCTGCTGACTGCGTATTAAAATCACCTGGGCAACACTTAAAAACATATTGATGTCTAGAACCCACACCTCAGTGGTTGGTTTTCTAGTATTTAACTGACTTTTTATTAATTCCTCAGTTTGTGCAGCCATACCATGCCCTTGACAAGGGGTGAGAGCCCTTTGCAGCTCAGCTCCAAAAGGTTTGCTAGCCAGCCAGCTGGGTTTGGGTAGACAGAGGGAAAGGACCCAGACACCTAGTGTCTCATAATCAGTCACCTCAAGGGATCCCTTCAATTTGGGTGTAGCAGAGATCAGCCCGTCACTAAAACAGAGCCCTTTTCCAGGACACACAGCTCATACACCTCTCCAGCCTTCTGCACAATATGGGTAGAAGAAAGGCATTCCACCTTCAGCTCTGACCTATTAAAAACTTCCGAGCAACCTGCACTCCCTCCGTCTGCTGGCCAGATGCAGAGGAGCACTGGGAGGCCTCAGGCCATGTGGAGACACAAGCTGGAGGGAGCCTTAAAGCAAATCCAGTGCCATCCCATCAGAGCAGGTTTACTCTTTTTGCCCAGGTGGTGCCCTCTGTCCTCCGAGGAGATCCCTGCAGCCTGGGGTCACTCTCCCTCTGAAACTTAGGGCGACGGTGTGAGGCTGTGACGGCTCGGGCACCTCTCACACGCCACACAGCACTGTCCTGCTTGCCTGCATGTTCAGGAGGCTGGAGCCATAGCTTACGCTTTTATCACAAACACAGCACAGAAAGGGGAACATGGTATATGAGAGCTAGAAGACCTGGGAGGTTACAATACCCCAGAAACCTCCCATCTGATTCTGTGGCATGGGAACAAAGTACATGAGTTCCAAAGAGCTATGTGTCAGACAAAGGGGGTCCCTGTCATGCCACCCATAATCCCTATGTGCCCCAGTGATTGCTGCCAACAACAGGAAGCTGTAGAGTGACCACACACATAGCTGGCTTTCAGCTATACTGCGACACACTAATTTATCCCCATCTTACCTTAACAATCCCAAGCTCACTCAAAAGTATGGAGCACTTTAAAGCATTGTACTGGTTGGAGTTATTAAATACCATATTCTTATTTGAAAAAGCACTATCAGCTTTGGCATTCCCAAAGTCCCCGTGTCCTCTTACTTGTCATCACGTCTAGTCCCTGGCAACAGTGGCTGGTGTGCACCTTCAAGTGTGCCCAGATGAACAGAGCCTAACACAGACCGACTCAGCCCTGGGGTGTGGAAGGGGTGGCTTCTCAAGAGATGCCAGCTGAAGAGAGGAAGAAGGCCGCAGGTGTAGCTGCTGCTGAGCTGAGCTGACACTTCAAGGGAATCTGGTCTGGGAAGCTTCCAGGGTGTACTACCTGGGGGTAGAATATAGAGATGGAACTGAAATACGAAACAATAACATGTAAGATGAGGGTTGGGCAGTGACTGAAATGAAAGTTATCTAAGGTCCTTCCATGGAAAGACAGTAAAAAATGCTAATTGAGAGTTTAAGTCAGGCATTCATGGTATAAATAGAGAAAGCCACTAAAAAATCAGAACTAGAACATGTAACAGCTAAACCAGACAGAAAAAGAAAAGTAAATAAAATACTTCAGTCAACCAAACAGAAAGCAGGAGTGGAGGGGAAAAGCACATTAGACATCTGACCAGTCACTACATTAAACTGAAAAGGTTCTACACAGTGAAGGAAACCAACAGAACAAAAAGGCAGTCTACCAAATGGAAGAAAATATTCATAAATGATTTATCCAGTAAGTGGTTAATACCTAAAATATATAAAGCACTCATACAACTCAACACCAAAAAAAAAAAATAAACAACCTGATTAGAAAATGGGCAGAGGACCTGCACAGTTATTTTTCCAAAGAAGAAATGCAGATGGCCAACAGGCACGTGCAAATAAATGTGTTCAACATCAGTAATCAGGGAGCTACAAATCAAAACCACAATCAGATCGCCTCACACCAGTCGGAATGGCCACTATCCAAAAGACAAGAAATGTGTTGACAAGGGTGTGGAGAAAAGGGAGCCTTTACACAGTTGGTGGGGATATAAAATTGGTGCAGCTGTGATAGCAAAACAGTATGGAGGTTCCTAAAAAATTAGAAATACCATATAAACAAATTAATTCCACTTACAGGTATTTACCTGAAGAAAACAGAATCACTAATTTGAAAATACATATGCACTCTAATGTTCATTGCAGCATTATTTACAATAGCCAAGATGCGGCAAAAACCTACGTGTCTACTGACAGACGAATGATAAAGATGTGGTACATACACACAGTGGAATCTTCACCATAAAAAAAATAAAGAAATCTTGCCATTTNGGGTTGTCACAGAGGAGGGGGCTGGGGTGCTGGGTGAAATAAATGAAGGGGTTTGAGAGATACAGACTTCCAATTATGAAACAAAAGTGTCATGGTGATGAAAAGTGCAGTATAGGGAACAGTCAGTATGTTTGAACTCTATGGGACAGATGGAACTAACGTTTCAGGGTGAGCGTTTTGTAATGTATGTAAACTGTCTGAAACTGTTATGTATGATGTATGTAATACATCTGAAACTAGTATAATATTGTATGTCAACTGCAATTTTTAAAATTTGACTACTTAATAGGCAGAGTTACTAGATCAGATATTAAAACCACCACCACCACCACCACATCCAAACAGAAGTTAATAGGTTGGATGAAATTTGTAAAATTGTAAGAGAGACACCTAAAATGTAACATAGTTTGAAAATAAAAGGACAGCAAAGATATGCTGGGGGCTTTGGTTCCTATTAAGACAATGAAGTAGCACAGGCTACTGGC